CTGGCTCCTCGGCGCCGTCGTCGCTGTCCGGCGGTGAACCTCGCCCCCACGCCAGAACGCGCGCGCCACGGGGCAGCCCAGCGAGCAAGGGGAGGGGAAGGGGCGCAGAAGAGGGCGAAGGGAGGCGAGAGAAGGGGGAGGGTTTACACTGGTCCTCTTCCTCCTCCTCCGCTTTCTCCTGCTTCTCGTCCTCCTCTTCGTCCTCCTCCTCCTCCTCCTCCTCCTCCTCGTCCTCCTCCTCCTCCTCCTCCTGCTCCTCCTCCTCCCCCTCCTCCTCCTCCTCCTCTTCCTCCTGCTCCTCGTCCTCGTCCTCGTCCTCGTCCTCGTCCTCGTCTTCGTCGTCGTCCTCGTCCTCCTCCTCCTGCTCCTCCTCCTCCTCTTCCTCCTGCTCCTCCTCCTCCCCCTCCTCCTCCTCCTACTCCTCCTCCTCCTCCTCATCCTCCTTCTCTTCCTCCTCTTCCTCCTGCTCCTCGTCCTCGCCCTCGCCCTCGTCCTCGTCCTCGTCCTCCTCCTCCTCCTCCTCCTCCTCCTCACCCGCCCGCACCGACGGGAGGCAAGGGGAGCAAGAGGTTGGAGGAGGGGCGCGGAAGGGGGCGAAGTGAGGCGAGAGGAGGGGGAGGGGGGAGGGGGGCCACACCTCCGACGATGTGGCTTGCTCAGTCCCGGGATCTGTTCCTCGGATGATTTCTGGCCCCTGGGGCCCGTCAGGTGCGCGCCAGGACCAGCAGACATGGATCGTGGACGACAAATTACCCCAGGGACGGGGTCGGGACCTCTGAAAGCGGACTGCGGATAATCCTGCACATCGTCGTGCGAGAGGGAGGTGATTGATCCATGCAGAATTGAAAGACTTGAGTTGCTTACGTATGTACTGTTGCAATCGCGATGGTTCATGTACCCCTGGCCCCAGTCGCCCGAGACGCGCGCAGAGAAGGGCCGCCCAGGAGAGGCGACATCCAGACGGAGTAAATCCATACGGAATCCGAGCACTCCGTATGGACTTGGCCTCCGCCGAGCCCGCGCACTAAAAGATCACATCGTCGAAGGTCTGGGGGGGGGGCACGGCGGGGCGTTAGGTCGGGCACGTCCTCCTACAGGCGGATTTTGGACGAAAAATACCAAGTAGCCAAAAAATACCCAAAAATTGACATCATAAGTAATAAATCGTCCTCATACTATGTTTTGACTATTTTTGAATACCCCTCCTGTAGAAGGGCCTGTCCGACCGACCTAAGGAGAGCGCTAGGGGGGGGTGAGGCGGAGAGGCGGCGGGCGGCGGCGAGGACGCCGACGGGAGAGGCGCAGGGGCGGAGAGGCGGAGGAGACGGCGACGGGGAGAGGAGGAGGGCGAGAAGGACGAAGAGAAGCACGAAAGCGAAGAGAACGATGATCGTTCCTCGTCCTCCTCCTCCTCCTCCTCCTCCTCCTCCTCCTCCTCCTCCTCCCCTCCTCCCCCTCTCCTCCTCCTCCTCACCCTCCTCCTCTCCTCCACCTCCTCCTCCTCCTCCTCCTCCTCCTCCTCATCATCATCATCATCATCATCATCATCATCATCATCATCAGCATCAGCATCAGCATCAGCAGCAGCATCACATCAGCATCATCATCATCATCATCATCAGAGGCAGCAAGCAGCATCATCATCAACACCACCACCACCATAAATCATCATCACCATCAGCAGCATCGTCATCATCATCGTCATCATCAGCATCACCATCATCATCATCATCAGCAGCATCATCATCAGCATCATAGCAGCAGCATCATCATCATCATCATCATCATCATCATCATCATCATCACCAGCATCGTCATCATCATCATCAGTATCAGCATCAGCATCAGCATCAGCATCAGCATCAGCATCATCATCATCATCACCATCATCGTCATCATCATCATCATCAGTATCAGCATCAGCATCAGCATCAGCATCAGCATCAGCATCATCATCATCATCATCAGCATCACCATCATCATCATCATCGTGATCATCATCATCATCAGCATCATCATCAGCATTAACAGCATCGTCATCACCATCATCATCCTCATCATCATCATCACCATCAGCATCATCGTCAGTATCATCATCTTCATCGTCATCATCATCAGCAGCAGCATCATCAGCATCATCATATCCTCTCCTCATCTTCCTCGTCCTCCTCCTCATCATCATCGTCACAATCATCATCATCATCCTCATCATCATTATCATCATCATCATCAGCAGCAGCATCATCATCACCATCGTCATCATCCTCTGCCTCCTCCTTCTCCTCCTGCTCCTCCTCCTCGTCCTCGTCCTCGTTTTCCTCCTCGTCCTCGCCCTCGTCCTCGCCCTCGTCCTCGCCCACCTTCTCGTCCTCCTCCTCATCCTCCTCCTCCTCCTCCTCCTCCACTCCTTTTCCATATAAATAACTCTTCCCTATCGCACCCCGAGGTCAGTTTTTAGGGCGGGCATTTCGTCTGAGACTTCCTCACCATGACTCTGAGG